AGTAGTGGTAAAGACTTTTAACATAAACTACAGTTGTTTTGTTCAGAGCTGACACTACTGTAGACTTTAGTATGAGCTCCAGCTAGCTAACCTGAAGAGCAGATGGGGAACTGGCTGGCGTTTTCCACAAAATTAATATTGGAAATGAACAATAAGCTACAAGCAAAATCACCATCAAAGTCAATCATTAGTATAATACTGAAGTTATGGCCACACGTACCTGCTTGGAGTTCCTTGGAGAGTTCGTGTAAGGTTAGCAGTCTTGCAGTGAGTGAGGCACTATTGCACGTAGCAGTCAAGTACTCAAAATCGATTCTATTCACAGTGAAAGGGAACCATGGTGGCAGAAACGCTGATACTACAATAAAACCCACAGTTAGGGTCAAAGCAAGACTAACAGCAACATGGTAGTTTGTGTTCCTACATAACCACTATTTAAAGATTGCAGTTGTTTAATATTTATAAAATTGATCTATTCTACCTTGTTAAGAAGCTAATGTTAAGGCCAGGTATGTAATGGTGGGTGTCCGGGTAGCTAGTGCGCATGCACACTTGACTTTGGTATCTCATAATTATGACTTAGTAAGTCGAAATTTTGACTTTTTATCTCATAATTCTGACTTAGGTAAGTCGAAATTTTGACTTTTTATCTCATAATTATGACTTACCACTTTGTAGATCAAAAAATTTTTTGTACTGGCGGAAATGGGCTTCCATAGAAAACACAGAAAAGCTTGGAAAAGCATACTATTATATCAGAAATGAATGGGAGGTTTGTGACCAAACCAGGAGGGGAAACTGCACGAAACAATCATACCTGTTCTCCCTTTCACTGCCCTGATTCTTCTCCATTACAACAACCCAACTGCTTATCCTCCCTCTCCTCCCCCTCCACCTCTCTCTTCTTGCACCGGGAAAGCGCTGTAGTGGTGATTATCTCTTCCAAGTCTAGCTATTTGTCCATGCCAGCGCTAAATGCATTAGAGAAGAGGAGAGGGGAGGACTGGAGGGGGCAAGAAAGGAGGGGAGACGCAGTGGGAAAGCGGAGGGGGGCTGAATGGGGGCAGGGCAGGGCTTTCATCATATATGAGACCAAAAAAACACTGCAGCAGTAGTGCAGGCAAAAATTTTCTGAACCATAAATGAGCATCATGGAGAAAAGGAGGAAGGAAACAAGACTGAATGAGCTATTCTGCTTCACATCTCCCGCCAGATCTCTGTCTCTTTCTCTCTCCATCACTCCCTCCATCCACCTCTACATCACCCGCAGGCTGAATCTCTAATGAGTGTTTCTATTGCGCAGCATGGCAGGGTGTGGTGACTACTTATATTTCATACAAAAGGCTAATATTTCAACCCTTACAATTCAATGTGGTGTTTAAAAATTTCATGAAGAAGGAGAACAATAACAGAAGGACTGCTGATAACTACTATCTTCTTCTTCACATGACCACGTGTAAAGGATGCCTCGTTAAAATCACACGGGACAAAAAGGGTATGGGAATAAAAGACTTTCCAACACAGATCACAGAGCAACAGCCTGAAGCTGAAGAACCCTGCTGAAAGATAGGCTGGAGTCCTCCTAAGTTGAAAACCTCAAATTACAGGGTTTAAAAACAACTTTCAGGCTGTTGATTGTGATATGCCTGGTTCTAATTGCAAGAATCACTCTTTTGTCACACTTATTCCAGTATTTCAGTGTCATTTACTATGCCTTCATCAATTTGCATGATACAGTCTAAAAAGCAGTCCCACTCCAAACTGATCCTCCTAAAAGGCATGCAGATGTGATGTTAGATATGTTTAAGATAAGTGGTCTCAGAGCTCCAAATCTCCCAGCAAGGGAAGAAAAATGGGTTGGACTTTAAACACAGCCCTCCCACTGCCAGTATACCCAGAAAATACATGGCTGAGCTGAAAAGTGCTGCAATAAAAAGAGCAAAGCGTTACAATGTAGCCAAATATCAAATGGTCCTTCCTGGAGGGAGAGCATCTGTGAAGGGGAATCATATTTCTGCCGTATTTTCAGAAATCCCACACGTTTGAAGCGTATATTTGGCACTTGAACTACTTTTCGACTGAAATTTGACTAAAATAGCCTCCCAGACCGTGAAATAACTCCCTGCAGCCATTCACAGCGCTATTTTCTCAGTTCAAACGGGTCTATTTCCACGGCTACAACGCCGCAGTTAATGCTGTTACACGGAGAAAAAAGCCTTTGACAGCCCAGGCGTTTGAGAACATGCCGTTATGTAACCGGACACCGGGCCGAGTGAGAAGCATCTTTGTGAGCGATGGAAACTTATTTCTAAGAAGTTATTTCCCTGCTAGCTTAAATCAATAAACGAGGGTCTTGTGCTCTGTGCTCTGATGACCGAAGACACGGAAGTGCTCCTACTTTTTGGAGTATGTAGAAACAAAAAGTAGGCTCAACACATGTGATTCTCCACCTCCCTCAGTGACATCGATTTAGTAAACCACTTGTTTGAATGGGGTTGAAAATATTTTCACAACACAAGAACGATATAAACACAACAAAGACCAAATGTATACTCACTCCTCTTCCCATGGTTGACGTGGACTTCAGTTCAAGTAAAGAATGAAAAACAAAAATCCACCTTAAAATTATGTACAGTAAAAATATGAAAATAAAATAAAACTCCTAGATGTGTCTTTTATTACCGTGAATTTTTTTTTTTTTGTCTTTTTTGTCTTTATTTTTTATTTTCTCTTCAGCACGTGTCACTCCTCCAACACACACATCCGAGCTCGCAAGCCGCCGCCGCAGACCCTCCAATACTTATAGACGGCGTTTCTTCCATTGTGACGTCGACGTCGTTTGCCATGGCAACCCCACGGATGGAGGCGGGGCGTCTTCCATTATTGGGTGTTTTTTTTTTCTCCAGCATACCATGAAACACACACGGAGCACATACTGTATCATTACCATGGATGGATAATAAAATACTGAATGGATTCAGATACAATCATCACAGCCAAATCATCAATAGCTCCTGCAATATTCCAAGAAAACACAATGATACAATTAGACACTAAATTAATTAATTAATGAATTAAATAAATAGAATGATGCAGCAGTTTGAGAAGGTGGTGAGCTAACCCGCTGCTGGCTGTAGTCTTAAACAAATATAAGAGTAGTAATCTCACTTTTTATCCAGAAAGCATATAAGCACATTTTTCAAATGTGAAACTGTTGCTTTAAACTTCAGCTGTAGGCTTAGAGTCAAACCCTGCAACATACACACACACATACACACTCCTGATTCATCCACACTTCACCCGGCTTAACAGCTGGGTTTCACAGACACCTCCTTTCCCATGCTGCTGTGACAAGGTTGCTGCATGCTGATAGCGGGCAGCCAACTCTGGCCCCTTTGCTTCTAAATTCAGATCTGCAAAAGTAGATTTATCTGTGTAACACAGTCATTGTTGTACATATAGATACAGATCAACACACTGCTTGTGTATAGATGCACAGCAGGAGTGCACCATCAGCTGTGTTTTGACACCAGTGGCAAGAAAAACATCTGTGTAAGATTTTTATGATACCAAAATGTCTAAAATGGTGCTTGAGATTCCACTGGATATATGGACCCCCTTTAGGTATGGGGCCCCCTGAAAGTATTCCCCCTCTCCCTCCAGCTAGCAGAGCCCCTGCCTATTGTTTCCTCCAACATATTTCTCTCACCGCTGTTACTGGGCCTTAAATAGTTGCAATTCTGAGTCCCTGCTATCTCCAGGATGCTCCCTGACCCCAGATCTCCCTGATGAGAAGCAAGCTGGGGGGCAGTCTTTCATGTAGAGACCTCATTGATTTGCAGCTGTGCTAGCAAATTTAGCTGTACTGTATCCAAGCAGTAGTACCCTTATGGCCATTTGCATCTGTTCCAGGAGCTCTTAAACCCTTTCATCCCACAACAAAAATGAAAGATTTAGTCTTTCATCCCTGGATTTAAGCCTGAAATCAGAAACACTTAGCCACTTGTTGTATGTACAGACAGAAGAAAAAGAGTTTCCACCTTTCATACATCACATAAATCTCCCCAGAGCTTCATATTTGATATATTTCTAAGGCAAACCAGTAATAAGAAAACCTAAGCCTCTAATGTATGTCACAAATTCCATGTATTGTACTCCTGTCTGCAGCTTTATCCAGCTCTGTCAGCAGGCTGTGTTAGATTACGGTTTGAAGGCAACCTCTTCAACCATGAAGTGCACCTGGGCAGACAGGATGAGCCTGCCATTTGAGTGCTATTGTATCCCAATAGATAGACTGTGTCGTTCACTGTCTGGCTCCTTGTGTAACAGACGTTATCAATTGACCTGGAAAGCACCAACTGACAAGATAAACCTCAAATAGATCAAACAGCAATGGGACGATTTCACTGCAAGGGTTCAGCAAGCAGTTCATCTTTTGCTGTTTGCAAACACACATGCTCCATGCTTGATTTTCTAGCCATCCCTGCTTCTGTCTAACAGGGGCTCTAACCTCTTTTCCTAAATATGGTCCAAAAACCAAAATAAACAGGAGGAAACAAATAACACCACAGGTGAACGTAATTCACAGATGGACACACAGCAGCATGCCCTGGCCAGGGGTTTATATACTTATGCTCATACATGTGCATATTTTATGTGAGTGCAATACACATGTACAGTACAGTTTATATACTGTTTTTGTTTTGGCAAGTGCATTCACATCTATGTGTGTGTGATTATGTGTAGTTTGCGTGTTGCCAGTGCTGCTCTATAAATAGCCTCGATTTTATTTAGATGTTGCAGAGAGAGAGTGAGAGAGAGGGTTCTAAAATGAGTTGCCATGGCAACAGGCACATTCAGGGGGCCTGCTTGTGAACGAGGATGAAGGCATGATCATATTTGTCTGCTGCCCATTTTTCACTCTCTCGTTCTCTCTCCCCACTGCTCATTCCTCTCATCTGAATTGCTTTATCCGTGTGACAGTTCATCAGAAAAATATTAGAGAAGCACCAAGAGAGCCTGCTTTCAAACTGTAATACCATAATTAATTGCATATCTTGGAAATGTGCACTACAAAAGGCCATTCTTTGTGTTTAAAAATGTCTTGCTCCAACTCTTTTCCTTTCTCTTTAAAACATACTTTTTTCAACATCTATCAGCCTCCTTCTCAATCTCCCTTTCTTTTTTCCTATTTGCTCAGCCTTCTGTCTGCAGACTCTCGCTGTCTGTCTTACACTAGCACCCTCTGCTGTAAAAGAAATCACCTGTGAATTTGGAAAGAGAATAACCTGATTGGTCAGCAATATTCATTCATTCAACAGATAAGTTGACAGACATGTTACGCAGGCAACATGTAAACTAATAATGGCATATATTTTCTACTAATATCCTGCCTACTAGCTCAAGTGTTTTCTAAGTGTGTGTGAAGCTGGCCATCTGTGAGCACATCGGTATAATGATGGGATACCGTGGACACACATAAGAGGGGTTGAGGGAGAAGGGGGCATTGATAATGGCCAGGATAAACACACAGCAGATAGAGCTAGAGTGGTCAAGGCTCATTTTTTACTGAGGGCCTCTTTGCATTAGCGGTCAACAGAGCAATCCATCGCAAACAGCACTGTGTTAGAATGACTCTTGAGATAATGGACACACACACACACACACACACACACAGTTCTTTGACATGCTTGTGTTTAAAGCTAAAATCCCAGTAACATAAAATTTAAAAAGGTGCAGTAGCAGATACCACTGACACAATTAGTCTATTGATTGATTAGTCAGTCAAAGAAAATTAACTCACAGCAAACAAACACTTGGATTTGATTTAATTTTCGGTTTTTGACATATTAGAAGTGCAAAGATTTGGTGGATATTGCATGATATTCAACAGCCCGACTAGTGTTTAGGAACTGTTGAGGTTGATAACCGCAGGGCACGGGTAACCAGACCTGACTCACAGATACCTATCTACTGAACCCTGAAACAGCATCCTGACTTTTTACCTTCTGTGTCTGAGAAATATTAGTGCAAAAGAAAAAATATCCAAGCAGCCTCAGTGCACAGTGGTACAGAAATGTTTTATTGTGAAGGACATATACATCAACATATTCTTAATTTATCCATGTGTGGTGTTTCTGTGTTTCAGACAGTTGTGTAACCTGGCATTAAATAATGCTGAAACAGTGACTGCTCCCTTCATGTTCAGTTGACTCAATAGTATGTCTCAAGCTCCACCCAACCTAGGAACCAGAGGAGACAGAATTAGGGACAAAGATTTTGGGATGATGGGATGATAAATTCAGCCTCTTCCTAGAGGTCATACAAAATCTCCCTCAGGAGAAATGATTAAAAGGAGCAACTGACACTGATGTGACCCTGGAGCCAGTTCTACACTGTGTTTTTGGCTCTTACAACAGTAGATGTAAACACAGTTCAATAAAACTGTATTATAAAAAACTTTCCTAAAATACATAAGATATGTGAAACTGTGTCAGTTTAACTTATTTTCCCCTCAGATTTGAACACATTTATCGACCATGGATAGATAGTAGCATGTTCACCAATCTGTGCCGTGGGGCTCAGATGTAGCAGACACACAAACACTCACACATGTACAAACACAGCTGCATCTGAGCCAGCCCTGCATGCAGGTTCTGCTCAGCTCAGTGGGTGGAACGAGGCATTAACAATGGCTGGGTTAAAGGTTCAAATCCTACTGTGTGGAAGGGAAACATGCATGTACACAAAAAGAGGACAGGGGGACATACAATGCTTGAGCTAAGCACATACATATTTTTCATCTCAGCTCTCTGTATTAAGCTACTGATTGTCATCAGTAGCATCGCATTAGTAAGGGAGGGGCAATACAGATTGCATAGTCTAAACATGTGTCAACTGCTAGAATGTCAGTATTATCTTGTTTTCCCCACTTTGGTTATATTTGGCAACCAAGTCTTAGTGAAACCACTGAGCCAGTTGATTTTCCTGTACTAATTTCCCATTTGAACAAAATGAACTAATCCTGCCCTCCTCATCCTTTTACATTCACCTCCAATTAAAGACAACAGGCAAAAATGTGTGTTAAAACCACTGTAGAGGGCTTACCGCCTGGGTTGCGTCTGAGGATGTATCTTCTGGCTTCATCATAAACGAAGATCAGGAGGGAGTAGGGGAAGGCACAGAACCACCACCATGGCCTAAAGTATGGATGGAGGGACAGGGAGATTGAGTTACAACCTAAATGTGGCAAGAGCACTTATTCAAGCGCTGTTAGGGCAGAGACACAACAAGCCGATGGTCGGCCATCGACGTCGTAAGGTGGGTTGGCTTGGAGTGTCTCTGCCCTTAGAGATGCTCAGTTAGTCTGTAACATCAGTACAGGGAACTGTATGGTCGACTGATATGTTCATCTCTATATCGACAGGTTCAAAAGCCTGATAATGCAAAGCTCCAAATGCATGGTTTCTCAGTGATACTGTTTCTTATACCAGTATGTTTTGCAGATTTAGTGGTGTAACTGGTGCAGAAAGTTAAATCTCATCTTTACAGGGAACAAAAGTAAAAGGTCAGGAGAGGGCACTCTGATATTACTGCTTCAAATGTCACAGTAGGTCAAGGTCAAAGTGTTTATTTGTCATATGTACAGTTAGGCAACGTGTTTCCCTGTACAATAAAAATTCTTACTTTGCCGTCCACATGAATGCCACATAATACAAATGAAATATAAAGTAGATAAATAAGTAACACTAAATTTAAGGCGAGACAGTATGTACAGCCATTTAAAACATCTTCTCAAAATGAAAACCTTTAGTATTCTACAATATGGTTAAATACATCTTGGATTCTTCTTAGCAAAAGGTACCCTTCCAAGTCAACTCTGAACATAAATTACAGTCAGAAAGAAACTCTGAGGTAAAGGCATCAATAAACAAAAAAGAGAGACACAAACACAGAGAGCAGATGAGACAGAAATAGGAACAGGAGGACAAGGTCAAGGAGGAGACAGTTACTGAAACAGAAAGAAAGAGAAGCCCAGGTCAGTCAAGCATCAGTCTTCCAAAGAGAAGGGTGAGCGGGTGGGGGAGGAAAGGACACAGAAGCAGATGAAACAGAAAAAAAGTGGTGAGGAAAAAAGGGAAGATTCAAAACAATAACAAGGAGAAGAAGACAATCAGAGCCTATCTGTGTGTGTGTACTCTCCTGAGCTAATGAGCTTTTCTTGCCCTTACTGCTTTCTCATTTTCTCTGTTGGGCAGAGTCTCCTCAGTCGAGAACGTGTTGTTCTTCATTCTGCCTCTGAAGTGGAATTTACCAGTGACACTACATAATATCCATATTTCTTTAGAAGATAATAAAGCTAACACACACACACACAGCACTGACTGACTGATAAGGAACCTGTGGGACTTACAGTAACATCAAGAAACAGAAAAAAGTATTTCACAGATTACCAGCTTAGTAGGGATAAACCTAAGGCACACTTTGTGCTCATGAACACCCCTGCATATATGGACAGACACCAAATATTCAGAACATTTACATGAAAAACCCTAGAAGATATCTTGGGAAGCATATTAAGGAGACTATAGATTCCCTGCTCACCATATTTTAAAAATAAACTCAGTGTACCTTTGACACAAAAATCAGAGTATATTTTTGTATACGTGTGTAACAGACTCACTTGAGAGGGTACATTCTGAGGGCCACATCCATGCCAGGGCAGTATGACAGGAAGGCAGCTAGAGCTGTTTCTTCAAACAGACCAAAAATCAGGATGCGGTTCCTGTGGACGCAAAGAGTTGACACAATCAGCACCATTTTACTAAAATGTACTGTTTTCTGTACATTAGCCTGAATGCATTCTTTGCAGTTACTGTTGTAATGAAACTTTCTAAAGCAATCAATATATTTCCTTAAGAAAAATCTGGATCCACAAAACAATAACAGTTTAAAAATTCATTTTCATCTATTTTAGTATTTGATGAATACTAATGACTACACTGCTGTCAAAGAAACACACATAATCTAGATCATCTGGTGTTTCATGAATAAAACTAGATGAAATGGGATTTTTATGAGATTTGTCTTTTTGTTTTTTTTATTCATACTGTTTTTGTCAGGTTTTTCAATGGTAGTTTTTGCTTCTGTGTGAATGTAGTGATCAGAACCTAGAGTGATCATTTGCTTTCTGCCCTGACCAGAGTACATAAGATGGTTTGCCCAACATTATCCCAACATTTTGCCAAAAAGCAGAGGACATTCCAGTGTAAAATGAAATAATTAAACCTGTTGGAACTACAGACTCCCTGTGCTGAAGAATCTATGTAAGTACCTAGAATTTATCATGTGAGGATATCAGGTTTGGAGTCACTGTCTGTAGTTTAAAGGTCTTATACAGTATATATTGCCAAGTGTACATACTTCATTCCCTGATGAATGATGGAGTTTCTTCTGGTTTTACAGATGATCAGATCGGCCCATTGGACGATCACAATACTGGCAAAAAATGCTGTGTGGCAGGTGAACTCTACAATCTTTCTGCGCTCATATGTCTAGGATATATAAAATTGACAGCACATTAGCATTTCTTCTATTCTCCTTGAAATTCAAATGAACCATTCATTTTTGTTTAAGCATTACCACGTATGACAGATGATAGCATGATTAAAACCACTGGATGTACTGACCCACTGCTGTCCATAGCTGTCTTCCAGGTCATTTATATGGTTGTTATCCCAGAACACTCTGAGCCCCAGCAGGTCCATGGGGAGGAAACCATTTTCAGCCAGGATCACAAAGTATGCAAAGAACCCAGCTGTGGCCTGCATCATTCCTAACAAAGCAGGAAAGCAGTTAAACTTTATGTGGTCACTGTGTTTCCAAAAGATGAGCAAGTGTTTTAAATCTCATTGAAATGCTGCTTCTATAAATCAGCCACATTGCAGGAGACATTATGTTTGGATTTCCCACACCAACCACCAACCAGTACTGACACAGTGAACATATTGTAATCAGTAACTATAATATATACTTCACTTTGTCACTTTTTGCAGGGGCAAGAGGTGCACAGCAAACATAATAAACAAATATATTATTGACTTATTAATTATACTGTACTTACCGATCTGTCCGTAGGCCATACTGATGAGCCTTTCATTCACTAGTTTGTCTGTTTTGGGATTTCTGGGTTGCCTCTTCATGATGTCACTCTCAGCTGCCTCATAAGCCAGAGATATAGCAGGGACCTGGGAGACAGGAAGTGAATAAAAAGGAAGTTAGTTAAGTCAGTTGAACACCTAAGTTAACAAAATGTAACCTTTTTAAAAATATCATAATAACAGAGATTAGATCTGGCTGTCAGGACACATTTGTAAATTGAGCAGCTTGACACTTTTTTAATCAGATGACCAGGTAAAGAGCTCACCATGTCAGTTCCCAGGTCAATACAGAGGATGGTGACGGTTCCGAGGGGCAGAGGGATGTTGGCGATGATGAAGAGGAGGAAGGGTGAGATCTCAGGGATGTTACTGGTCAGAGTGTAGGCAATGGACTTCTTCAAGTTGTCAAAGATCAGACGGCCTGACAAAGTAATTTAGAAATTAAAACTGTGAGAACTGTGAGAAAACTAAGCTGGTACATGCTCACATTTCTGCAGGTAAACATCCCAGTGTAGGTCACACCTTCTTCTACTCCAGTAACAATGGAGGCAAAGTTATCGTCCAGCAGGATCATGTCAGCGGCCTGCTTGGAGACGTCAGACCCAGCGATCCCCATAGCAACACCAATGTCAGCTTTCTTCAGAGCTGGAGAGTCATTCACACCGTCACCTGTTACAGCCACAATGGCACCCTGAAGTGAAAGGAGATGAGCATTCAAATGTTCACTTAGTGCATGATTTAGGTTTTTATATTAATAAATACAGCATAATAGAAGGCGTTCCCAATTTGAGTCCATGAAAATGTCATGAATTCCAGGTGAAGCTAACCTGTCTCTGGCAACCTTCCACAATAATCAGTTTCTGCTGAGGGGAGGTTCTGGCAAAGACAATTTCTGTGTGGTATTTCAGCACATCGTCAAGGAGCTCCGGGGTCATCTCTTTCAGCTCACCACCATGGACAACACAGGCCTTGGCGTCCCTGCACAGGAAACCACAGTAGCATTAGGACAAAAGGTGAAATCCAGCATCTTGCTTCTGTGGATGGGAACCAGTCTGGTCATTAAAAAAAAAAAAAGCAAACTGGGAAAAAAGAACTTCCTTGAGAAATCAGACAGTATGTGGCATTGTCAACAAAAAGCTCAATTTACAACAAAGTGTTCTGCTTCTTTGGGTACATGTTGTAACATTAAACCTTCTGCAGACAATGAATCACACATTTAGTGCCATTGCAGAAGATACAGGGTAGTGTAATGACCCACTGACACCGGTTACATTTCTCATCAAACATACATCTCTTGCATGAGGAATCTTTCAAGGATGTCAGTATTTTTACAGCGTGACTGCAATGTGAACACACAGGCTAAACTTGCTGATGAAGAAACAGTAAAGCCACAGGCTCAGAGCCACATGTAGATTTGTTTGTCATCTGTGAATTAATGGTAAAAGATTTTCTGGCTGAGAAGACTGCAGGGCCTCCTTAGCCAACTGTGATTTAAGTTTGCATTTAGCAATACTGGTACTAAGCAGAATTTGAGAGCTATGCTACATTTAGAAAGCAGATTTTATACATCCCAGTCCCCAAGAAACCCTTCGTCAGTGGACTGAACGACTACAGACCTGACGCCCTGACATCTGTAGTCATGAAGTCCTTTGAAAGACTGATGCTGGCCCACCTAAAGGACATCGTTGACCCCCTGCTGGACCCCCTGCAGTTTGCCTACCGGGCAAACAGGTCAGTGGACGATGCAGTGAACATGGCACTGCATTACATCCTGCAACACCTCTTTGTGGACTTCAGCTCGGTGTTCAACACCATCATCCCGGACATCCTCCACTCCAAACTGACCCAGCTCACTGTGCCTGTCCCCACCTGTGATTGGATTACTAGCTTTCTGACACCAGCTCAGGAAGTTCGACCTGCCCCAGGAGCTGCTGATACAGTTCTACAGAGGAATCATTGAGTCTGTTCTCTGCACCTCCATCACTGTCTGGTTTGGCTCAGCAACCAAACAGGACAAGTACAGACTTCAGCGAACAGTCAGGACTGCAGAAAAGGTCACTGGTGTGAGCCTGTCTTCCATGGAGGACCTGTACACTTCACAGGTCAAAAGGAGGGCGGAGAGGATCACTGCTGACCCCTCACACCCTGGACACAATCTGTTTGAACTCCTCCCCTCTGGATGGTGCTACAGGTCACTGTGCGCCAAGACAACCAGGCACAAGGACAGTTTCTCCCCCCGGGATGTCACTCTGATTAACACTTAACCCATAGCAGTATGACTGGATAATAGCCTCAGTGCAATACCTGTAAACATACATTGTACAGATTATACAGATCTGTACAGGTCTCTATTTTTCAAGTACTCTATTTTTATTTTTATATTTATCTCGTTACCTAATGAACATTCCTTTGTCCGTTTGCATTGTTTATACTGTTTATTTTGTTATACTATACAGCCTTATAGTGGTATATTGTTTACTTGCCCTTTGCTATTGCTGTACATAAGGATATGTACTGTACGTACACATTGAGAGCCGCTGTACCAGAGTCAAATTCCTCACGTCCAACACACCTGGCCAATAAAGCTGATTCTGATTAAGATACAGTTCATACTCATGCTTACAAAATCTGCTCAAAGCTAGTCAGGTGAACTAACCTGGGGTTGACCTCTGCCACTGGTACATTCAGGCGAGCAGCAATGTCTTCAACAGTCTCGTTGCCCTCAGAGATGATACCCACACCCTTAGCAATAGCTTTGGCCGTGATGGGATGGTCACCTGTGACCATGATAACCTGAGGAACAGAGACAACACAAAACACTTGACACACAGATCTTTGTGTTGAGGTTTACAAATCACCATCTTGCAGAAGCCTGCAAACCACAATATTCTTTTGAATATATTGCACATTTAAAAGACACTGTAGCCGCATACCTTGATTCCAGCACTTCTGCATTTACCAACAGCATCAGGCACAGCAGCACGAGGAGGGTCGATCATGGACATGAGGCCAATGAAGCAAAGTTTCTCAGTGGGGAAGTTCACCTCATCAGTGTCAAAAGCAAAGCCTTCTGGGAACTGGTCATCAGGCAGGTTGAAATGGCAGAAACCTGAATAAGACAAGGACAAATGCTTGTCATTTAGTGAAGGGACGCAACAGTATACCACAAATAATTGAAAACATGAGGATTTAAGAAATAAATCTTACCCAGTACTCTCTCTCCCAGGCCTCCCAGTTCCAGGTAAAACAGCTTAGTACATGAAGATAAGAATACAACTGAACATACCAAGTACTCTCTCTCCAAGTCCACCCAGTTCAACATAGGTGTTCTGGAAAGCATCTTTCATCTCTTCATCTAGAGGCTGCTCTTTGCCTTGGATCATGATGGTGGAGCACCGCTCCAAGATCTTCTCTGGGGCTCCTTTCATCACCAGCAGGTGCTTGGTCTCTCCAGGAGTTGTGTTCTTGTGAATGGAGAGCTGTGGAACAAGTAGAAAAGCTGGAATTAAATAACTCTTTTAATGTTATTACCAAATATTTATTTAAAGCAAAACTCAGTTTAAATCTAAAATGTTCAGAGTTGGACTTTAAGTCATTAGTCCTTAACAGGTCGATGTTGTCAATGCCATGAGACTCCTAAACAGCTGACAGGAGTTTACCAGGAAATAGGTCATGTACTGTCGACCTGTACTGTCTACATTCTCAGTTTGCACATGCATAATTGCACACTGACTGCTGACTGCTGCACATGCTGTTCCCTTGCAGCATACATTCTCTTATATTCTTATATATTTTTTATTATACTGCTGCATTTGCTGCTTAAAGTGCCTTAGATTTAGTGTTACTTATTTATCTACTTTATATTTCACTCATTGTACAGGGAAACATGTTTCCTAACTGTGCATATGACAAATAAACACTTTGACTTGACTTGACTAGACACCACTAAACTCAAGCACTAGAGGGCGTAAGTCAACACTTACTACTACAAATATTAAGTTGTTTTCATAGCACTCGACACTGTGTGAGCTATTTACTTGGTATTTGTCGGTAGAGTTAAAGGGGATCTCAGCAATCTTGGGATATTTCTCTCTCATGTCTTTAACGGATCCACAGCACAGCTCAATACACTTCAGCAAGGCAGCTTCTGAGGCATCGCCGGCTACTTCTCTCTGAGAAATGGATCGAAGAATTGTTTCAGGGGGTCTAATTACATGACATCTCTGATATATTTACAATATATTGTACATGACAGTCAGTGCAACAAAGATAGGAAAATATTTCATATCGTTATTTCCATTGGAGGTGAATTTACTTGAAACTAAAGCTTCAGGAAAACTGACAGAGATGAATCTACTGTATAAAGGACAATACTGGCTATGGGGATTTATTGTTAATTTACATAAGACTTTTACAGTTACAGCATCTGAGGCTGTATAAGCATCAATCGCAGATGATTATGGATCAGCTTAACGATCCATTCCACAAAAAGACAGCACTATGTGGCTGTTTCATCCAGTCCAAGTTCGAATGCATATTTGGTACATAATTTTGCAATACAAAGTTTATTGTGCTATATTTAATTATTCCCCAACTGTGCAGTTTGAGAAAGATATAAACTTGCCAGTGCTCATTAGGAAATAAGCCTGTGGGTCTGACTGGCCATCTCCTGCTACTGCACCAGTTATATATTTCTGAAAAAAACCTAACTATGCTGAGTGCTTTTTAGAAAGATTTGTGGTGCAGTTTGGCTGTATTTATATTGTGCTGGATCAAAAAAGTTCCTTGCCAAATTATAATGCCAAGACCCCTCTCAGACAGTAACTGCATCTCATGCCTCCTCTGGCTACAGTATCCAGTTAGGTAATCTTCTAAGGAAGAAACATTCCATTAGGAATTAAATTCACCTCCATGGTTGTTTACAGCCAGGGCTAAGGAATTGTGTCATACCAAAAGCCAAAGTCATTGATATTGTCCTGCAAAGTTAAATTATTTATACTGAACACAGAATGAGTGGACTAGATCAAAACAGCTGTAAAAGCTTATAGGAAGATGTTGCACACAATAAACCGTTTACCTTTAAGATGGGAAGGTTGCTCTGCTCAGCCAGGAAGACGGCACGGTTGCAAAGTCCAGCAACTCTGGCCAGGGCAGCCCAGGTGGCTGAGCTCCTGTCGAAGGAGGTCCCGCTCTGGTTCTCTGTGGTGTCGGCCTCGTGGATCTGGTTGTCAAACCACATGTGGGCCACAGTCATCCTGTTCTGGGTCAGGGTGCCAGTCTTGTCCGAGCAGATGGTGGAGGTGGAGCCCAGAGTTTCCACAGCTTCCAGGTTCTTCACCAGGCAGTTCTTCTTGGCCATACGCTTAGCAGTCAGAGTCAGACACACCTAGCAACAGAAGTCAAATGATTACATTTACTTTGCATCAAGGCATTTATTGTACACACTGAGATTCCAGCTGAAGATAAACACCACAACTCACAGTGACAGTAGCCAGGAGACCTTCTGGCACGTTGGCGACAATGATACCAATGAGAAAGATGACAGCCTCCAGCCACCCATATCCAAGGATGAGTGAGAGGATGAAGAAGGACACGCCGAGGAAAACAGCCACGCCAGTGATGATGTGGATGAAGTGCTCAATCTCAATGGCAATGGGAGTTTTGCCACCCTCCAGACTGGAAGCCAGGGTAGCAATACGACCCATGACAGTTTTGTCTCCAGTGTTGATGACGATTCCTCTGGCAGTACCTGGAGAGAGCAAGAGATTTGTTGTGCCTTCAGGTTAGGTGTGGACATAAAATATTCTTCAGATTAGTTTATTTATTAAATGATTAGATCTTTTTTTTCTTCAGACTTCAAATCTATTATCAACTTACACTGCCTCCCTATACTGGCCCAACCTATGTAGCCTTGAGTTTAAAGCTGTATACAAGATCACTAATTGTTTACCTTCAACACAGTTGGTGGAGAAAAAAGCTATGTTTCTTGTTTCCAGTGGGTTGTCGTTGGTGAATTCAGGAGTCCGAGTCTGTGGCTCTGATTCACCGGTCAGGGAGGAGTTGTCCACCTGAAGGAGGAAAAATAAAACCAGAATAAAATACCAAAGATCTCCAGAGAAGAGAGAATAACAGGATGCCTTCAGGTTAATATGAAAATCAAGTTAAGTCAAGTCAAGTCAAAGTGTTTATTTGTCATATGTACAGTTAGGAAACGTGTTTCCCTGTACAATGAAAATTCTTACTTTGCCGTCCACATGAATGGCAAAAAATACAAGTGAAACATAAAGTAGATAAATAAGTAACACAAAATCTAAGGCACTTTAAGCAGCAAATGCTGCAATGTAATAAAAATATATAAGAATATAATATAGAATGTATGCTGCATGGTTTTTTATTTTATTTTATTTATTTATTAGCTTATTTGTTGAGAACAAAAGCAAGAAGGTGGTGGATGATACATTTTGGCTTAAAAAAATGAATCTAAGGAGCAAACAAGTTTTTGAGTTTGAGCGAGTTAAACAAAATCTAGTCAGGAAGTGACTCACAGGAAGAAAACTGATAAACATCCATCGGATGTTATGCAAATTAACTACTGACAGACTGTGAGTAAATCATAAACTATTAACACACATTACTGTAAGGTAGCTTCCTGCTAACCACCGCTACATAATGAATGACTGTTGGGTGAGATTAAAACAAGTTCCTGAGGGATGGACCTTGCAGCCATGGGCAGAGATGATCCTCAGATCAGCAGGGATCCTGTCTCCACCTTTCACCTCCACTAAATCTCCAACCACCACATCCTCAGCATTGATGCTCTTCTTCTCACCGTCACGGATAACCAGGGCTTGCTACAAGACCAAAGGTGAAATATAAGGTTTTATGGCAACTTCTGAACTTAAGACATTTTATATAGATTTTGCTTTTATTACCAGCGCAAACCAAGTGATAAATGGAAGAATGTGTCATCAGTGCAATAAAGCTGCTGAAGTAATACCGCTTCTTACCATAGTACAACATATATATTTGGTATGTCCAGCCTTTTCAACCACTACAGATTATAAAGCAATTAGCAATTTGGGAACAATAACAACTAAATTAGTTTTTCAGTGCATTCTATCTCACCTGTGGGACCAGGTTCTTGAATGAGTCCATGATCTTGGAGCTCTTGGCCTCTTGGTAGTAGGAGAAGCAGCCAGTGATGATGACGACAGCAGACAGTACAACACCCAGGTACAACTGCAGGTAGATTATTGGTTAGTTCATCTTTGTTGGTGTTAAGTCTTTAATCAGTAGGTAAAATTTACATATCATAAATTGACATGGTCATCTTTACATTGTCATTCATAGGTTCATCTTCTGAGGCAGCCTGGATACCAAAAGCAAGGAAGCAGAGGACAGCACCGATCCACAGCAGCATTGAGAAACCACCAAACAGCTGTAAACAATATGAAATAGCTTTCAAGTTTCAATAATTTGCTGATTATACTGGCTACAGTGAATCAGAGTACATTTGCATTCCCCAAAAAATTGGCATATTTAAAATAAGTTTGTGTTTTGCATGGGAAATGTTTCACTCTTGACTGTGAATTTCAGACAAGAAGCAACTTTTTTTGTTTTTACCTGTCTACAGAACTTGACCCATTCAGGTGTTGTGGGAGGAGGCGTGAGAGCATTTGGGCCATCTCGAGCCAGGATCTCTTTTGCTTTGGAGGCAGTAAGACCCTAAAAAGAGACCCAAGAAGACAGCCAAAGGTTTCACTTTGCACACTGGTTAAATGATTGCACATTTCCTCACACCAGCCTGGTACGCTGACAGAAAGAAAAAGAGATGGGATTGAGTAATGGATAATTATCTCACCTGATGCATGTATGTGGTCACGTCTGTTTAAACAAAGGATCATCATTTTAAAAAACATGAGTTCATTTTCTGGCTCTGACTCAGAGGCTGTTCTTGTCTTTGTTTACTGGAGTGTGGAGTGGTATACTGTTTAATTTGGTGAACGGGTACATTGGTTGACTGATTGGTTGATCAGGAAGTGGTTGATTAAGGTTTGGTTGAAAGAAAAACAAAAAAACCATATCAACAGGAAGAAAGATGTTTAGAAATCCTCCAATTACAGGTTTCACTTCTCACAGTTCTCTGTAATTAGACATTAAAAGCTTATGGTAAATCACAGCTTGTGGAAACTGTGTGAGACAGGAGGATCAGGTGTATTATCAGTGAATAGCATACTTCAACAAGGTCAAGGTCACAAAAACAATAAAGTAAATTGAGAGTAAGGCTACTGAAGGTCTCTGTGGAGGGACACCAGACATGAAAGGCAGCATTTTTGTCTTGTTGCTAGGGTCAATCCGACCAGTGTTCCTGTATGAATGAGTTCTTTGTGTTGGTGCAAACTCAGACAGATCAGGCTTCAAATAACCAGCGGCAGTCAAGCATTTGGCCCCTGTGGGGTTGTACTGGGTTGCATAATGGGATTCTTTATATGTTTATGTGTTCTCAGCTAAATGGAGACCATGGCTGATACAGATATAGCTGCATTTCCCTTTCTTTTATAATATGACACACTTGTTGACTTGAACTGGGCAGATAGTTAAAGTTTTATTTCTTCATTTCTCAAGACAGTCTTCTCAGCATTTTCTGCTGTCACTTCAGTAGAACAGATTTTGTCTGTGGTGCTCAAAGCACTGAAAAATTGTATCGAAAAAGTTAAATAGTAATGAGTATTTCTTAAAACAACAACTGTGTACTGCTTGTTCTGGACACAGGCTTCTCTGTGAACATTTTTATTGGACCTACTTTCTACTACTATCTGTTGATAGTGAATGCTGATAGTATGTTTACAGAGCATTAGCAAAATATGCCTCTCTTAGAGAACTGTTTTTTCAACTTGACATATCTTTGGGGAACTTACTCAGAGTAAGAAGGACACTGCTTCAGACTAAAAGGGTTCCTTAATATTAAAAATGTCGCTTCTCTGTACATTAAGCACTACAGACAAAAATTCCACTGTATTGAGGTGAAGCCAGAAAATAGACACATCAAAAAGAGAAATAAAGCAAAATAATTATTTCTAGAGAAATAAAGCAAATGTGCATGGTTAGACACCACTTGAAGGTCTAGAGAAGTATGAGAGTTATATGTAATTTGGATGAACTTATATGCAGCTAAATCACCTTCTGCACTAGTTTGCACTACTCTAAGATATTAGAACAATCTGTGGGACAGATACATGACAGTATTTGTCAGTGTAAAATGTTTCTCTGTCCTTTTGACTTCATTGTGTGCTGTGAGAATTTCCCCGGGCTCTGGGCTTATCTGCTTCTGTGGAACTGTCACTAGCAACAGTACAGTAACTCCAGGGGGCACCGACATACTCACTCACGCTCAAAAACAAACACACACAGAAGGTGCTCACCCTGGTTAGGTCGGTTTCATATTTTCTGTGAAGTTCTTCCATGGTTAACTTATGGTCATCCTATGGACAAAAAGAGAGAGAGAGATTGTGTAAAAGCCAAGCCAAAATCCCTGTAATTTTAAAACCACAGATATTATCTCCTTTGAGGATTAAAAATGTCCTGTCATGTCCTGCAGAGGGACACAGGGAACATAAAGATGACGAGGCACAACCGGCCATCTGATCAGGATTGTGGGTGCATGCTGCTACTCCATACCATGTCATTTTAAGATGAATCAAACAGACACTTCAATAAAACAGCTGATGACTTGAAACCCACTGAACACAATGGCCAAGCCACCGCATGCTTGGTTTCGTATGGCTCCATCCAAACAGTCAGTTTACTGTGAACAAATAGTCTGTACAGCTGAATCTATGTCACCCAACTGCTATGGTAATGTTTGCTCCCAAGTGGATTGCTCATGTGTTTGATATTTTGCTGGAGCTTACCAAAGAGTGCAGCCCATTCTCACGCCAACATCATCAACATTTATTTTATGGAAGATTTTAGAAGTGTTGCTTCTATAGTTTAAAAAGGGTTTCATCCAGTAGCAGTCTTTATTTTTAAAGAGCAGGGGAAAATGCAAATAGAAGTGGATCTGCAAATGAACAGCCAGAGAAGCTGAGAAATCCACGTGCCTACACTATCTTGCTGAATAACGCCTACAGTGAAAGAATGAATAGAGATTTTTCTGATATAATGTGGATGATCTGCAATAACATTTGACTCCCACCTTCCATTTTTATACTGCAAAACAACAACATATTCTAATCCTTTTACACAATGCAAGACAGTGAAACATCCCAAATAAAGATGCCTACACTGGTTTCTGTGGTGACATACTGGTCTCAAAAATGAGTTCTTGTTGTGACCAGTATGTCAACAGTGATCTTGTATACAGCTTTAAAATCAAGGTTGCAAAATAGACCAGTAAAAGAGCGATCATCTAAAGTCAGTTTCCATGTCAGCATGGTATTAATAATATTTTTTCTCAGTAATTACTTATGATTTGCGGCAAAAGCGATATGCTCACATTCTTATAACACTGCTTTCAATGTGCAAATATAAAATCTGGAGCTAACTGTTAGTCCATAATGAAAGAATCAATAAACGACTGATGGAATGAATAAAAAATGAATGTATAGCATATTAAGCATGACATTTTGCTTATAACACTAAACTGTGAAAGGCCAGGCAGAGCTGTGCAGTTATACCCACTTTCTCCAGTGACTCTAAAAAGTACATATAAATGTAGAGGGGCTCATTTTTTCCACAAACAGCTGAAAGCTGCAGAGTCATTGAAATGAATATTGTGTAAATATGTAATGTCACACAGCATTTACTCCAAACTCCAGAAGATGAAGACGTTAAACTCAAACGTCAGACTGAAATTCCACTTAAAACTAAATGGGACACTGTCATGTCATGTATTTATACTTTTGTGTTGGACCTGGGTGTATTAAAGTGTTTGCCAGCAGTTGACGTTCTTCACTAGCTTTGATACTCTGGTTCATAAACACACATGTTCTGGACTACTTTAGGAAATAAACTGCAGCCACCACTGATGATGAACTCAACCAAATGATTCTTCTGTATTTATACTTTTGTGTTGGACCTGGTAACATTTTTTTCACATCACTGGCTGATTTGTGTTACTATGGGAATCGTTTCCATTGTCTTAAGCTGGACTTTGGAACCTCAGATAATTGTACCATAGTGCAATGATCAATAAAAAATCAGCTTCATGAGCCCACAGAAACCCACTGCTACTGCTTTACTACAGCCCCATGGGATATCATTCTTTAGCCACCCTGGATTATAACTCATTAATCTAACCTTTTCTCCAGACACAATGAACTTTCAACTGTTGAGAAACACATGAAACACAGCACCTGTTGTTAATTGTGGTAAATTATATGCTAAGTTTTTGGAAATGATGATAAACTGGTGATATGGCTGCTGTGGCATTGAGATGCCCTTCAGGACTTTGAAATCTAGATGAGAATTGTATTACCTCATAAGTACTGAGACCTGCTGGACGACTTTTGGCACATACTGTTGATGAATTCCACAGAAACATGCAGTAACTAAAGAATTCATTATAAAACTGGCAAAAGGTCACAGTATTCATATTCTATTGTAATTTTAGTTTTTGAAAGTTACTTTGCTATCATACAGAAAAACTGCACCAAGCTAACAACATCAGTGTGTTAATGGTGTAGTTCAGTCTGCCTCCTCATGACCTGGCCTTGTCAAGGACATTGATGTATCCTAGTTAAGTGGCACGTTGTCAGGTTTATGGACATATACACGCATGAGAACAGTTTTAGCAAACAGTTAGGGTTACAGATGAAACTGTGACATCTTTAATGACTGTATTTCTGCCTACAAAACACCGCCACTGTACATTTAAAGTCAGTGTAGGAAAACATTAATTAGCCTACCACAATGACCTTGGGAAATGACCTCAGTCAGCCACAGATTCACACTGAGAAAAAGCTGACACCAGTGGAAAGTGGCCAACTGTTCTACTTCTCTACGCCCAGCCAAACCTCCATGTATGCAACTTTACAACTCTGCACATTTCTGCACAGCCAAAGTAGCTATGATGAAAGTGGCTATAGATAAAGTGAACTTGCTCTTCTAAATAAACTAATATAGGTTTGTAAAGAAAAGAAGCAGAATAATAAGCTTACTGGCTGTGGAAAAAGGACTAATTTGTATGTTTTGAGAAACTGAAGACTCTGGAATGGCAGCAAAACCTCTGACCTAACATTTCAGCACTGAAAGCTAGCCTACTGTAGATAAGCATGACTTAGAAGTTTAGTATAGCTTTGGACTCCTTAACATATGACAGCATGTATTATGGTGTAAGTAGCAATCTTTATAAAATATGGGCAGACTGCTACATCTCATGTGAGGCTGTCTCAGCTGTGATTGTGTCACAGTAGCAGTGACATAAAGGTCAGAATAAAAGTATGAGGCAAGCAGTGCATATGGGAGGAAATGGCTTTAAAGTTTAAGAAGGTCTTTTTAAGGTGTTTTAGGAATATGCCTGTTCCTTTCTGTTTAATTAAGCTGGGTTTTGTAGGGTTTGGCATGTATCATCTTGCCATAATCACAATAGCTCCAATCAAATATTTACAGGCTATTATAAATGCACTCACCAGGTCAACTTCTTTCTTCAGTTCTTCCATATCTTTCTTTTCTTTAGCTTTCTTGCCTTTCTTGCCTTTCTTAACCCCATCATCCGAGGTTGGCGCCAGCTTGTACTCATCCTTCCCTCTCTGGATTGAAGACAGAGAGACAAAAATGAGCTCCTGAATAAGACTGAGCACATGTGGGAGAATGCCCTGAATACACCAGTTAGTGCACAGAACAGTGTCAATGTTGCCATTCAAACGTGCTGTAGAAAGTATTAATAGTTATTCCAAGAACTCTGAATTACACTTCCAACTGGATAAGAGCTCCCAAAACTAATCTGTGAAAAACACTAAGCCACAAACTGTGCGCTCACACAGCAGATTTCAAAACGTAGGTACAAAGTACATCAGGCAATCCACATATGTCAAGCTTAACCACTAACTTGTGACCAAAACTTGGTCTCAGCTCAAAGACTAATCTTAACCAAAAAAGTTTTAGAAATCAGGCCAAAACATGTGACAAAGTTGGGAGAAGGCAGTACTTACTCCCAGCCCCATGCTTGCAATGTCAGTCTAAGAACAGTCAATCCAATTGTCTTTTTAAATTGCAACTTTCCTACTCCGCCTCACTCTCTCTCTCTCTCTGTCACACACTCTCTCTCTCTTCTCTCAGCCTTGCTGCTTCCTGTCTTCCGCACTCCCCAGAGCAGAGAAGACGGGTTACTTCACAATAACAACCCTTTATAACCACAACTGGCTCACCTGCCTTGAAGGAGGAGCTTGGGGGGAGGGGAGGTGGGTTAGGGTGAAACTGAACAGGTGAGTTGTATGTTGGAGAGGGGTGGGGGGTGCACCGGGGGCCAGTAATGGTGGAGGAGGAGTACAGGAGAAAGGGGAGTGGTAAATCGGTCGACTTCCCTGTTTTGCTCTCACAGCTTCCTGTCTTCTTTCACTCTTACTCATTCTCTTTACTCAAGCCATTCTGTTCCCCTTAAGCTTAGTTTTGACCTTCACATGCACCAGGCAGTTGCTTTGGACAACCAAATCCAAATGACCATGCTCTTCAGCTCCAGAGAAACTTGAGAGACTCTCTGTGACTGTTTGTTCTGTTTGCACTGTCTGTGTGCGCTTCGTTCACTGTACAAACAGGAATGAACAAATAAGAAAAAGGCATAATGATAGAATTAAAAACAGACAAAGCTAGAAAGGTAAAAGCCTAGTTCTGCAAGTGAATGATTGCCTAAAGCCGAATGAAGCATTTGAATAACAAAGGCTATAGAAGAAAAGAAGCTGATTAACCAGACTGAGGAGCTGATTAAAACAGACTGACCTTTTTTCTATGAGGACTCAGAGAGAGGCTGGACAAAACTGCTGCTCATAGCAAAGATAACATGTGGAATGCAAAAGGAGGAATCCACTGAGCCTTTACCTTTCCCTCCCTGTCTGAGGTCAGTGTGCCCTGTTAAAGGAGAAAAAGATTGCGAAATCAATTAATTGTGAAAACCTATCACTTCAAACAAGTGGTGCTAGAAAATTTTTCATGATGCTCAACCTTTGTGTTTGCTTTGTGTATTGCTGCACTGCTTCAAATGTCACTGGCCTGCTGCTCCCATACAGCTGTTAAAGGATTAATATGTTAATCATCCTGAGAAAAACACAAAAATCTCATTTGAGACCCAGTCTGGCCTGAGTCCTCTAATGTGTTCCGCTGAGATTTGGGCTTCCTGCCCAAACTTGGTCAAAGTTCGGCTGCTATTAAACCTCAAATAGATACAAACACATATTTAACTGGTCCAGCTGATAGACTAACAGGAGACACAAGTTCTGCATTTCCACTTGGAACACCAAAAAATAGTTTTAATTAAGGAGTGAGCCACAGAATGCCCCTGAGATACACCTCCTTGAACACATAGTGATTTCTCAACTGGTCGGTCAGCTGGTACAAAAAAAGTCTAAATTGACAAAAATGATGATGTATATTTGTGCAAAGGCTTTCAGTTTGATGAGTCTCACTTCAGTCACAATTCATCTCACATCTAAGGACACTCATGACCCTGAAGTCACAAAACCAAGGAGTGGTCTTCCTGTTCACTGCAGTTCAGAGGGAGGAGGAAGGCTTGTTCTTGTAGGCTGGCTGATGTGAGGGGGTTGCTGGATGTGTTTGTAGTAAACGTTTGACTGTTTACAGTGACTAGACTATGCAGGGAGGAATGGGATGTTTCAAAGATGAGGACAGGGAAAAAGTCAAAGAAGGAGGGGGAGGTGGGGGTTGTAAAATCAGAGTGAATCTGTTCTGTTAGTGTTCCACCTGTTGTACAATTAAAACTGTCTATTGTGTTGCTGCCTTAGCAGTATACAGACCCAGAGGACCTGCTATGGCAGTAGTGTATTGAATTCAGTTTGTTCCAGTTCTATTCATCAGGATGAAATAGATCCAGAAGAAGGAGGGTGGTGATGTAAGATGGCTGAGAAAACGCTTAAGGGCAAAGTTAAAAATAAAATAAATGCTATTTTCCTAGACTGCTGTGTATCCACTCTGATAATGCATGTAGCTCGCCACAGTACAGCAGAACCCAAAGGAAACTGGTTTGTGGTGCAGTAACTCGTGATAATCGGCTGAAAGTCTTTAGGGTGCTAACTAACAGCGCATGCTTTGCAACACATCCGCAGCTGCACTGTAGGCATGTGTATGCACACTAGCTGCACAGTGACCTATCACCACACCTGCCACTCAATTTGCACACACAGTGACAGCTTCTGGTTATACTTTAATTTGGAGGATTTGTACCTAAATGTGTTTTAGTCTTTCTGAAATTGACCTCGTGCACAGAAGTCACTTCTGTACCAATAAAACCAAAACTAAAAACCATGTCTGAGCCTCCCTCAGAGTTCTTCATGTGGCTGGGGTTTCAGTTTTAATTCAGTAAATAGTCTTGTTTAACCCCAAACAATTCTCAGCTATACATAATAAAACCAAGCCTTTAGAATACCACCAAAGTCAGTAGTAGCAAGTGAGGTCAGGTAACTTTAAGCCATGTAAGAGTACAAGTTGAAGTAGTAGGTGTTCTGTTTCTGTTAAAGAAGTTAAAGGGTCGATTCACACTAATTAGAAAATGATCTTTTCTGATTTACTCACAGTACATGCAAATAGTTTGGGTTTTGTGTACTGAGGTTTTGAAAAATCAGTTCATTCACCTCCACTGTCATTGGGGTAGAGGCTGAACTCTCAAGGGCAGATATCTCAAGACCTCAGCAGAAAAAAATGAAACTATATGCATGCTTAAATACCACCAGTGGTAAATCAGTAATCAACCTTTTAACACAGACAGTGCATTTTTAACATAGTCTGTTTGGTATTAGCTATTAGCTATGCTGGATTTAACCTTTATTACAAAGCTCAAATCCAAGTTAACCCTTGTGGCTGCAAAAGACTAAAGTGGTCCTTTGGCTTTTCCAAATGTCTCTATAGTGTCTATACTGCAAGATGCCCTTGTGATACTCAGACTGTACTGAGCTTTGTACCAAGTCTGACAAATCAAACCAAAAGTGCTTTATACGTGTTATTATTTTATGATGGCCAGAATTTCCTAGCAAAAGAGGAGAGACACAGACAGGGCAGAGAAAAACAGCAATCCAGACACATAAATGACGATTCCACAGAATTAAGCATGAACATTGTTTTCTAAAATATGGTTGAGCTAGTCTGTGAAAACAAGCTGCCCTTTTCCTTGTTGATGGATCTGTCACTGTGGAATAGATCTGTTTGTAAGCACACTACAGTACATACAGTACATGCCCAGTATGGCTGAGTTACAGCCAATCCCAAGTGCAGTGCCACTGGACATTTAGAGCATCAAACTACCTTTCATAGCGACTTCAGCAGTGCAGGGGACAGTTAAAACTAGAGTTCACATGGAGAAAACATTTGCCTTGTTAAGTCTGAGGAGCGTGCACAGATATTTGTCTCCAACAGGAGCAATGACAAGATTTCAACTATGAAACCTTGATTCTTATTTTAGGTTTTATTTTTATTTTTACAAATCCAAGCTTCTTACACCAAACAGCAAACAGTGGGATGAAAGATGGGAATAGATGAGGAATAACTCACTACAGTATGTGTTCATTTCAATTTAGCATTGAACTAATTGTATTGACTGTCGTATAAACTATGCATACAACATGTAACAGAGACTACTGGGAAAGAGGAAGTGATTCTCATACCCACAGTCATGAGTCAAATTCCAGCCTGCCACACTGTAAGAACAGTATGTTCCCCAGGAGTCCCACACGACATTGCTGTGTTCTGACAGTACAACTTATTTGAACAAGTACAGGAAGCCATTCGCTACATTCAAATGAACTTTGTAGCTGTGCCTTTATTCATGGAAAATGATTCACTTCTTCACATTGAGTTTCTTTGGCTCTACTATACAACTAACAGTGCACGTGACTTGATCATGATTCTTCTCATACTCTTTCCTGGAAGCTGTAAATACCTTCCTCTTGCAAACTGACCTGTAAATGTAGTCTCATCACCAGAGCAGACTCACAATTCATCTCACATCTTTCACTCTGAAATCTTTTCAGAAATGATCTAACCATTCAATCCAGTCTTCTTTCTCAAATTAATCCAGGTGTATTTTTTCTGTGATTATGATTCTATTTGAATACATTTGGCTCCTTGTTGATTGACCTATGCACCTTGAGGGTGTTTCACTTGGATGTTAAATACAGTATACCCACTAAAAAGTATTTTACAGGATTTTGAGCTTTAAAACATATTAAACAAGATGTCAAACCTCTCTTTTCTTTCTGCTGAGTGCTCTGGCTTTGTCAAGCTGAAAGTCAAGACTGCAGACAATTAGGAAAGCAAAATACAGAGAAGATGAAAAAAGCCACAAATCTATTAAACTTCCCAATCCTGTAGTGTATGTGGTGTAAAACTAAAGACCATCTAGTGTTTCTTCTCTAGGTGCAGCAAACCAAACCAGATGCAGCTGAAAATGATAAATGGCAGACTACAGCCAGTTTCTCAGAAAGTAAAGCTGAACACTTCCTGTTAGTGCCACTGCTGTCCCAAACTTTGAAGCCTTAGCTGGTGACGCCTGCAGTTCCCATGAGAATATGTCTCTGATGCACACTGGTGTAATTGCCAGACAAAAGCATAAAGCACACCAGTAATAGTTCGTTAGATGCAAGATCCAGGAAGCTTAAAGAACAAACTGATGAAAAACATGGAATCTACAGGCCAAGATGATCAATGGCTCAAAACACATTTTCTCCAGTTAGAGAGCAAAACCCCTAAAAGGAGACTTCACATACCTGCTCAAAATTCCCAGCTAAGGTGTTGGTCTCAGGCCTGAAAAAAGAGGAGTGAGATTTTTTCTATTGACTCTTGTCCACAACATTTCAGTTCAGCATGCATACTTTTTTGATAATTTGGTTTGTTTTGGGTGCACAGACATTGTTTTCGAACACGTGGCTTCGACAAGAACAGAAAAAAGACATATGTCTGCATTCAAACATGTTATAAAGCCTCAAATGTCCCTCTACTACCAATAATAACAGATAAAGAAGAAAAAGACACCTTGGTTACCAGACATGACTCCATCAGCCCCAGTCTTCTCACACCTCTTCTACCAGGAATCTTTGCGTCAACGTCCAACATCCTTCTCCTGGAGTGAAAACCACAAGAAAGAAAACAGGACACTCTTGCCCAGGCTGGTGAAACTCATAAAAAGGAAAGCCACAAAAACTTCAGTCTCCTCTAGTTTTCAAACTACAACAAACTGAGGACAGATTAAAGAACTGGAACTGATGTTTGTGAATCCCACTCAGTTTTCTACCATCCTTGTGAGTACTACTATACAGATAACCATCAGTTCTTGTTATTAAAGACATTTATCATTAAACATAAATTGTGCACTTAATCTGAAAGATTTTGTATGATTTAGCATAAAAATAAAAGTTTTCAATCACCAACCTTACAACTAACTAACAGCTATTTATAACAAGCTGTACTTACTGTGAGATGAGCCCATCTTCAGAGGAAACTGGCGAATACTCACAACCAAATCACAACCATCAGAAGTCAGACAGGAAGCAGCACACCTCTACACAATACATAGTCCCTTTAGGTGATATCAGAGAGTGTAGTGACAGTTTCCACTGCTGTGTGATGACATGTAACGGTGCATATTACTAGGGCCCATAAACAAAACTCAACAAAGGCAAGATACATTGTTCAGTGTATTAGACTCTGAATTAGCCTTTTAAGCAGTTATTAGACCACCAAATATCCTCTCCATTTAAGCTTTACTTTGGCAGTGTGTATCCTGAATCTGTAGACTTATTCTTGCATAACATGATAACTGAAAAGTAAGAATGCTTCCTTTTTGGTAGCACTCAGAAACAAATGTTATGATTTATGACCTTGTCTAAAAACACTAACAAAAGATGGCACATTGCAGTTAAATGGATCATAAACACATACTGACTCAGGTCACATTATGCAGCAGAGTCAAAGAAAGAGACTGCTGTTGTTTATAGATCCAAACATTTGCCAGAAACCCTGTTCCTACTAGGCCAACCAATGTTAAAATGAGAGCAGGCAGGAAATCTGATATCAGCTTCTCTGTCTGGACCTGGAAATGCTGAGTAGTTGGGCTTAGTTGCTTCACAAGCTGCCAGATGAGTCATCAACAGAACATCAACAGAGAATAAAGTGGATCTGGATTCTTCAGGTCCAGCCTTTGTAATGACGGCAGAGATCGAGTAATCACTGTGAGACCTGTGCATCGTTCATTCAGACCACACACACTCCCAAACACACAGAGACCCTGCACATCTCCTCTAATCTGACCAGGGATTACAGCTGCAATTAGAGGAATGAGAAAAAGGTGGAGGCAGGGAAAGAAAGACAGAGCGAGAGGGTGAGAGGCGGATTGTTCCAGTTGTGAAAACTGTTATATTGTCAGTATTAGTGTAAGGCCAACATCAAACTGCAAACAGCTTTGGAACTTGGAATCACATTTAAGGAGGACTTAATTCTGAACTTAAATCACACAGAAGGCTCACTAATCAGTTGTACACCTGTAAACTCCCTGTTGTTTCAGAGGAAAGTAGAATCCCTGAATGAGCAGCACAAAAACAAAAGTGAATCATTTCGCACCTGGAGCCTAAATATGCTTCACAATTACATGCATTAAAATCACAAGAACAACTTTGTAAAGTGCCTTCACTGAATTTTTATTTTTCATTTTTGTGCACAGCTTAGTCCTGATATTTAAGTTTATCCTGTTGTGGAAATAACCAGCTTTAATAATAGCTCTAACCAGTGTCTCCTCTGCAAGGCACAGGTATGATAACCCTGTACAGAAAGAACATCTGTGTAACTTCATCTGAACTTGAGCTTTCTCAGAACTGGATTTATAACTTCATAGCTTTATATTCTTCCTCCTTATGGAGCAGAGAAGTACACTGACCCAGAAAACTGGTGAAACAGTGAATGAGGATAAAGCAAAATGAAAGAAAGAATCACTGTACAGTAGACACTGCCAGTCTGGCCAATCCAGGACCCTGGCAGCAGCAACAAAGAGCCTCTGTCCCTGGTCACTCTGTCTCTCACACACCCATGCACATACACTGTACTCCATAAACCCAAGTGTGGACACAACCAAGTCTGCTGACCAATGTCTAGCAAATGTGAATGATGTGTGAGTGATTCTCTTCTCACTGCACTGACTTAACAAGTGTCTGGATGATGCTCTAAAGATGGAAAGATCACGTTTATACACATGGGTTTCTGCACCTACAACACCAGATGATCCTGCACCACATACAGCCAAAGAAACTTCACCAAAACCCTACTGCTTGTTCCTAGTTCTCGAGGCCACTTGTGTTCAGATTTCCCAGGATGCATGTTACTGCCGGGTCTGAACAGCGCCTGTGACGCATCCATCAGTTATGTACTCCTCCATCTATCTGGGTGGGAGTCGAACTGGGGTCAAAAGATCAAGAGGTACAGTGATTCAAAAGGTGTTGAAATCACCATCAAATAATGCAAACTGTTAAGAGTCATGAATTCCAGCCAAACTGTTGCTTAATTGTCTGAGCCTTAAAATCTCTATCAAAAAAAATCAACATCCACAGCTTTCAGCTGGCTATAATTTACACAGTGAGTTCAGTAAGTTGTAGTTATAACAGCATAATTGTATACACACTGCTACTTACTAATTTTGGTTGAACATACCAAAGCAAAGCAACATATAATTATTGTTTTAAAACCAAGATTATGCTGAGGGCAGTTGTGTTATGACAAAGCCTTTGCCTGAAGCTGAAAACGACAGCAAATGTATATCCAAACATTAGTTCTGAGTAGACTTGATGTCTATTACAGTACAAGCACTGAATTACAACAAAGTGGAGCTAAACAAACCCTGAAGTCAAAATGACATGACTTGCATGTTTCAGCAAGTCAAATAAATAAAATAAACATGGAAATACAAAACTGTGATGACTGGAAAAAAAACACAAAATGTGCAAAAATGTGATGCATTAGTGTGTTTAGAAATACAACAGATCATTTCATCCCAGTCAGCTTCCTTTCACTGGACTAAGTCAGCACTTCGGGACAGTGTGTATCAACCATTGTTTTCAGAATAAAAGCCCTGCTGGTTGCTGCCATTCAAAACAAAACTGTTGTCAGTTCCCTGACAGATAGTGGCGGCAGGACCTTTGCTCAGTCGTTGGGTCAAAGGTCAGTGAGTCACTTCACACTGAGTGAATTACTCAAACTCTGAGGCTGTTTTTTATGGCTGCCCCATTCTGTCAAATGCAAATATACTAGATGTCTTCTGCTTCAGTTTATACACAGTTTGCCAAAATTCCTCTTCCTTTTTTGTGTGCTTGGAAACTTTGGGATCTTCACTAAAATTTAGATTAAGGTTTTGCTGGTTTGGACAAAATGTGGCTGGACAACATGGGTTTGTAATGAATAAACCATAAGCAGTTTGTTGCTTGACACAGAACAAACAACCCCAAACTCACAGTATATTGAATTACAGAAACAATGACTCTTGGAAATAAACTGAAAAGTCAATAAATACTAAATATTTGAACATATTTGAGTGAATATCTGAGTGATTGAAAGGGGATTAAGTTTTACAAAAGCTTTAGTTTTTTTCCTATCTTCTTTGAAAACTTTTGACTCTCCTTTAGTGTTGTTAGAGACAGCAGCTGTCACCTTCTCACTCGCCTTTACTTCATATAGAAGAGAGATAAGAGTTGAGAAAGAGTGATGAGCGAAGCAGGGGAGGGAGGAGCTGAACTGACAGGAGGGTCCTCAAGTTGCTGTAGTGGTGTGTCTGCTTGTCCTTGACAAGGACACCTGCATGGCACAACAGGCTGTTTCTTTGTCTTTTTATCTGTTCACATTTCACTCACTCACTCTTTCTCTCCTTCCTGCTGTATGTGCTTATCGCTCTTGCCCTCTTTCTGTCTCCCCACAGCCTTTTCTTTTCACTTCATTTTCTGCTGTTGAAAATGTATGATCTACTCTGACATCACAAAAGGATCTTTCTATTTCTTTGTGGTAATTTCAGCCTTGTGCAATGCCACGTCATTTCACCACACACACAGCAGTCACACAATGAGTACACACACTCACAAACCCTTTGTACTTTGGAGTCTCTTTCAGTTCTGCTGCTGCTATTGCTCAATAGATGTTCATTCTCTCTCTCTCTCTCTCTCTCAGTCACACACACACACACACACACACACACCTGTACCGTCCCCCAGCATTCCCTCTTCCTCTTCATTATCATAATCATGCTGACACAGACACGCACAGAATTCCTCTGCTGACTCCTCCCCTTGGTGAAGACTTTCCCCTGGGGCTCTCACAACCTTCCCTCATGGAAAACAACCAGTGTGCACACATACAGACACACACAATGAGATCTGCTTTTAACAGTGGACAGCAGCACAATGGGAAAAGAGAGAGAGAGTGGGGAGATTTGGTGAAGAGGACGGAGTGGGGGTCGTTGATGCTATTAATAAAATTGGATGAAACCTAACTAACGAATTTAAAACTTATTTAAAAACTCACACATGACAACACCAGTATTTACACTTCCAACAGGCTTGAAAGGCCGACTAGAGGTCAGAGAGATAAAGACCCTCTTCTTTCGTCATGCATGCTGCAGAGTGATAGAGAAAGGAGATGCAGCCAGTCCCATCCAGAGCAACACCACCTCCCAAAGGACTTACTGAACCAAATATGTTCAAATGAAATTTAAATTAGTTTCTAGTTAAACAATAATGGTATCTAATTTTACAAAGGTAAACTTTATTGTAGGTCAAACTGAAGATTTCACTGCAAGGCTTTATAACTTACACACACATGTTCTTTGCTTGCTTTTTCAGTTCTTCTTTAAATATGATATAAAGCACAAAAAATACCAGAAATAAATTCAATCAGGAGTTAAAAAAACATAAAGTGGGCTTCACTCACAGATGGATAAAAGCATAATAATGTGTTTCTTTCTCGCCCCTTGCTCAGTTCATCTCAACTAAATTGTTTTATCAGCAGGACAATTCATCAGAAACAACATGAACAGAGCGGTGAAGAAATAAGATGATTAACTGCATTATTAAATATTGTTTAAATTTGATTTAATAATCTAGCCACAGGGGTTGCAAGCCAGTGACTTCTGTGCCGGTCCCAAGCCCGGATAAATAGAGAAGATGCGTCAGGAAGGGCATCCACCGTAAAAACATG